CACCACAACCACCACCACCACAACAACCACCACCACCACAACAACCACCACCACCACAACAACCACCACCACAACAACAACCACCACCACAACACACCCACCACCACCACAACAACAACCACCACCACCAAACAACCACCACCACCACAACAACCACCACCACCACAACCACAACCAACACCACAACAACCACCACCCACCACCACACCACAACCACCACCCCCCCACAACCCCACAACCACCACCACAACACCACCACCACCACCACAACAACACCACCACCACAACCACCACCACCCACCACCACCACACAACAACCACCACCCACCACCACCACCACAACCACCCACCCACCACCACAACAACCCCCACCACCATCACTACCACCACAACAACCACCACCACCACCACAACAACCACCACCACCCACCACCACCACAACAACCACCACCCACCACCACCACCACCACCACCACAACCACCACCACAACAACCACCACCACCACAACAACCACCACCACCACAACAACAACCACCACCACCACAACAACAACCACCACCACCACAACAACCACCACCACCACAACAACCACCACCCACCACCACCACCACAACCACCACCACAACAACCACCACCACCACAACAACCACCACCACCACAACCACCACCACCACAAACAACCACCACCACCACACCACAACACCACCCACCACCACCACCCACAACCACCACCAAACAACCACCACCACCACCACAACCACCACCACCACAACCACCACCCACCACCACCACCACCACCACAACAACCACCACCACCACCACAACCACCACCACAACAACCATCATCACCACCACAACAACCACCACACCACCACAACCACCACACACCACCCCACCACAACAACAACCACCACCACCACCACAACAACCACCACCCAACAACCACCACCCAACCACCACCACAAACACCACCCCACAACACCCCACAACCACCCCCAACACCACCACAACAACCATCACCACAACAACCACCACCACCACCACAACCACCACCTCACAACAACCCCACCACCACACACAACAACCACCACCACCACAACAACCACCACCACCACAACAACCACCACCACCACAACAACCACCACCACCACAACCACCACAACCACCACCACCACCACAACCACCACCACCACAACAACCACCACCACAACAACAACCACCACCACAACAACCACCACCACCACAACAACCACCACAACCACCACCACCACCACCACCACAACAACCACCACAACCACCACCACAACCACCACCACAACCACCACCACAACCACACTGTGCTATATAAAGACAAATTAAACCGCCATTCAGTTTTGGTGATAGTAAAGAAAAGTGTTGTGTTGTACCATAATGATCCACCAGCCTGTGTGTGCTGGCATCTTGTCACTACGCTCTCTCCCTCGCTCTTAGGATAATTAGTCCCTCACATTCATGATAATCCACTCTCACCCTCATGATAATCCCCTCTCACCCTCATGATAATCCACTCTCACCTTCATGATAATCCACTCTCACCCTCATGATAATCCCCCCTCTCACCCTCATGATAATCCACTCTCACCCTCTAATAATCCCCCTCTCACCCTCATGATAATCCCCCTCTCACCCTCATGATAATCCCCCTCTCACCCTTATGATAATCCCCCTCTCACCCTCATGATAATCCCCTCTCACCCTCATGATAATCCCCCTCTCACCCTCCATGATAATCCCTCCCCCTCCCCTCATTATAATCCCCCCTCTTCCCCCCACTCCCTATGATACTCCCCCCTCTCACCCTCATGATAATTCCCCTCTCACCCCTCATGATAATCCCCTCTCACCCTCATGATAATCCCCCTCTCACCCTCATGATAATCCCCCCTCTCACCCTCATGATAATCCCCTCTCTCTCTCCTCATTATAATCCCCTCTCACCCTCATTATAGTCCCCCTCTCAACCCTCATGATAATCCCCCCTCTCACCCTCATGATAATCCCCCTCTCACCCTCAGGAAATCCTCCCCCTCTCACCCTCATGATACTCCCCTCTCACCCTCATGGTAATCCCCTCTCACCCTCATGATAATCCCCCTCTCACCCTCATGATAATCCCCTCTCACCCTCATGATAATCCCCTCTCACCCTCGTCATAGCCCCTCTCACCCTCATGATAATCCCCCCTCACCCTCATGATAATCAACCTCTCATCCATATGATAATCACCCCTCTCACCCTCATGATAATCCCCCTCTCACCCTCATGATAATCCCCTCTCACCCTCATTATAATCCCCCTCTCACCCTCATGATAATCCCCTCTTACCCTCATGATAATCCCCCCTCTCACCCTCATGATGATCCCCTCTCACCCTCATGATAATCCCCCTCTCACCCTCATGATAATCCCCTCTCTCACCTCATGATAATCCCCATTTCACCCTCATTATAATCCCCCTCTCAACCCCCTCAATGATAATCCCCTCTCACCCTCCATGATAATCCCCCCTTCTCATCACCCTCATGATAATGCCCCTCTCACCCTCATGATAATCCCCGCCTCACCCCCCTCATGAATTCATCCCCCTCTCACCCTTATGATAATCCCGCCTCTCCACCCTCATGATAATCCCCCCTCACCACCCTGATCATCCCCCCTCTCACCCTCATGTTAATTCCCCTCTCCACCCTCATGATAATCCCCTCTCACCCTCTTATGATCCCCTCTCACCCTCTTAATTATCCCCTCTCACCCTCATGATAATCCCCTCTCTCCCGGGTAATACCCACCTCTCCCCTGGGTATATCCCCCTCTCCCCCCGGTAAATAATCCCCCTCCCCCCCTACCCTCATAATAATCCCCCTCTCCCCCGGAATATCCCCTTCTCCCCCCGGGTAATACCCCCTTCTCCCCCCGGGTAATACCCCCTTCTCCCCCCCCCGGTAATCCCCAATCTCCCCTCTGGTAATCTCCCCTCTCCCCCCCAGGTAATACCCCCCTCTCCCCCAGGGTAATGCCCCCAATCTCCCCCCGGGTAGATACCCCCCTCTCCCCCCATGTAATACCCCCTCTCCCCCCGGTCATACCCCCTACTCCCCCCCGGTACTACTCACTCTCCCCCCGGGTAATACCCCCCTCTCTCCCCGGGTAATACCCCCTCTCCCCCCCGGGTAATACCCCCCTCTCCCCCCGGGTAATAACCCCCTCTCCCCCCCCGGGTAATAACCCCCCTCTCCCCCCTTGGTAATACCCCCTCTCCCCCCCGGGTAATACCCCCTCTCCCCCCGGGTAATACCCCCTCTCCCCCGGGTAATACCCCCTCTCCCCCCGGGTAATAACCCCCCTCTCCCCCCGGGTCAAATAAACCCCTCTCCCCCCCGGGTAATAACCCCCTCTCCCCCCGGGTAATACACCCCTTCTCCCCCCGGGGTATATACCCCTTCTCCCCCCCCGGGTAATACCCCCCTCTCCCCCCCGGGTAATAACCCCCTCTCCCCCCGGGTAATACCCCCTCTCCCCCCGGGTAATACCCCCTCTCCCCCCGGGTAATACCCCCTTCTCCCCCCGGGTAATAACCCCCTCTCCCCCCGGGTAATACTCACTCTCCCCCCGGGTAATACCCCCTCTCTCCCCCCCGGGGTAATACCCCCTCTCTCCCCCCCCGGGTAATACCCCCTCTCGCCCCCCCCGGGTAATAACCCCCTCTCCCCCCGGGTAATACCCCCCTCTACCCCCCGGGTTAATACCCCCTCTCCCCCCCGGGTAATACCCCCCTCTCCCCCCCCGGGTAATACCCCCCTCTCCCCCCCGGGGTAATAATCCCTCTCCCCCCCGGGTAATAATAATACCCCCTCTCCCCCCTGGGTAATACCCCCCTCTCCCCCGGGGATAATACCCCCTCTCTCCCCCGGGTAATACCCCCATCTCCCCCGGGTAATACCCCCTCTCTCCCCCGGGTAATACCCCGTCTCCCCCCGGGTAATACCCCCCTCTCCCCCCGGGTAATACCCCCTCTCCCCCCGGGTAATAATCCCTCTCCCCCCGGGTAATACCCCTCTCCCCCTGGATAATACCCCCTCTCTCCCCCCGGGTAATACCCCTTCTCTCCCCCCGGGTAATACCCCCCTCTTCCCCCGGGTAATACCCCCTCTTCCCCGGGGTAATGCCCCCTCTTCCCCCGGGTAATACCCCCTCTTCCCCCCGGGTAATCCCCCTCCTCCCCCCGGGTAATACCCCCTCTCTCCACCTGGGTAATACCCCCGCCTCTCCCCCCGGGTAATACCCCTCTCCCCCCCGGGTAATACCCCCTCTCCCCCGGGGTAAGACCCCCCTCTCCCCCGGATAATACCCCACTCTCCCCCGGGTAATACCCCCTCTCCTCCCGCGGGTAATACCACCCTCTCCTCCCCCGGGTAATACCCCCCTCTCCTCCCCGGGTAATACCACCTCTCCTCCCCTGGTAATACCTCCCTCTCCCCCCGGGTAATACCCCCCTCTCCCCCGGGTAATACCCCTCTCTCCCCCCGGGTTATACCCTTTCTTTCCTCCCCGGGTAATACCCCCGTCTCCCCCCGGGTAATACCCCCGTCTCCCCCGGGTAATACCCCCCTCTCCCCGGGTAATACCCCCGTCTCCCCCGGGTAATACCCCACTCTCCCCCGGGTAATACCCCCCTCTCCCCCGGGTAATACCCCTCTCTGTGGACACCCAATCTGACTACCTGTCCCCCCCCCCAGCTTAACCCCCTCCTTGCTTCCCCTACGTCTCGCCTCCTCTAATCCTCCTAACACTGAAGGAAGGATGACACCAGGAAGAGAGAGAGAGAGAATCTTCTTGTCTATAATTCCCTCCTCAGTTCCCCCTTCCCCCATTCCCCCCATTACCCCAGCAGGAGCAGGAGGAGGAGGAGGAGGAGGGTGGGTGAGAGAGAGAGAGACTGACAGGAAGTGCCTCTCCTCAGGGCATCACGCTCAAGATGAACGAGGAGGGACGGTGCATCGTGGCGCGTATCATGCACGGCGGCATGATCCACCGCCAGGCCACGCTACACGTCGGCGACGAGATCCGCGAGATTAACGGCGTCCCCGTCGCCAACCAGAGCGTCGACATTCTCCAGAAGATGCTGGTGAGGGTGCATTCCCCTAGCCACCCCGGCAGGGGCAGCTAGGGATGAGTGGGTCCTGGTGCTGAGTGAGGGGTGAGTGGGTCCTGGGGCTGAGTGGGTCCTGGTGCTGAGTGAGGGGTGAGTGGGTCCTGGGGCTGAGTGAGGGGTGAGTGGGTCCTGGGGCTGAGTGGGTCCTGGTGCTGAGTGAGGGGTGAGTGGGTCCTGGAGCTGAGTGAGGGGTGAGTGGGTCCTGGGGCTGAGTGGGTCCTGGTGCTGAGTGAGGGGTGAGTGGGTCCTGGAGCTGAGTGAGGGATGAGTGGGTCCTGGTGCTGAGTGAGGGATGAGTGGGTCCTGGTGCTGAGTGAGGGGTGAGTGGGTCCTGGTGCTGAATGAGGGGTGAGTGGGTCCTGGTGCTGAGTGAGGGGTGAGTGGGTCCTGGGGCTGAGTGAGGGATGAGTGGGTCCTGGTGCTGAGTGAGGGGTGAGTGGGTCCTGGTGCTGAGTGAGGGGTGAGTGGGTCCTGGTGCTGAGTGAGGGGTGAGTGGGTCCTGGTGCTGAGTGAGGGATGAGTGGGTCCTGGTGCTGAGTGAGGGGTGAGTGGGTCCTGGTGCTGAGTGAGGGGTGAGTGGGTCCTGGTGCTGAATGATGGGTGAGTGGGTCCTGGTGCTGAGTGAGGGGTGAGTGGGTCCTGGGGTTGAGTGAGAGTTGAGTTGGTCCTGGGGCTGAGTGAGGGGTGAGTGGGTCCTGGGGCTGAGTGAGAGGTGAGTGGGTCCAGGTGCTGAGTGAGGGGTGAGTGGGTCCTGGTGCTGAGTGAGGGGTGAGTGGGTCCTGGAGCTGAGTGAGGGATGAGTGGGTCCTGGGGCTGAGTGAGGGGTGAGTGGGTCCTGGTGCTGAGTGAGGGGTGAGTGGGTCCTGGAGCTGAGTGAGGGATGAGTGGGTCCTGGGGCTGAGTGAGGGGTGAGTGGGTCCTGGTGCTGAGTGAGGGGTGAGTGGGTCCTGGTGCTGACTGGGTCCTGGGGCTGAGTGAGAGGTGAGTGGGTCCTGAGGCTGAGTGAAGGGTGAGTGGGTCCTGAGGCTGAGTGAGGGGTGAGTGGGTCCTGAGGCTGAGTGAGGGGTGAGTGGGTCCTGAGGCTGAGTGAGGGGTGAGTGGGTCCTGAGGCTGAGTGAAGGGTGAGTGGGTCCTGAGGCTGAGTGAGGGGTGAGTGGGTCCTGAGGCTGAGTGAGGGGTGAGTGGGTCCTGAGGCTGAGTGAGGGGTGAGTGGGTCCTGAGGCTGAGTGAAGGGTGAGTGGGTCCTGAGGCTGAGTGAGGGGTGAGTGGGTCCTGAGGCTGAGTGAGGGGTGAGTGGGTTATGTTGCTGAGTGAAGGGTGAGTGGGTCCTGTTGCAGAGTTAAGGGTGAGTGGGTGGTGGTGCTGAGTGAGGAATCTGGCAACATACGTTGAATAAATGTTCACTCAAGAGTGAGTATACACTCTGTGTATAACGTCGAACTTCAAGAAAAAATGTGTATGACCAAAAGATGTTATTTCAGTGCTCCAATGTTTGAATAGATGAGTGAATGTATTCTAATATACAAATGTTCTAACCACAATGTAGATAATTTATTCTGACCAGTATAAATATACACTAAAACATGCCACTATGTAAATATAAACATTAAAACACCTGTTTTGCAACTGTAAATAAACATAATACTAACAATAACAGATCCAAAGAACACAAACTGTAAATATTGAAACATTAAAAGAATTACGACTTAACTTTTAATACCCGCCTTGAGGGGCACTTAATCCTTAACTGCCTCAAGGGGCAACTAATCTATAACAGTTTTGAGAGGTAGTTAATGCATACTACCGTTAAGGCTGAATTGAGATTGTAAATGAGTGATAGAGTGACTGAGAGGGAGATAAGGATGTAGCAGTGTACTAGTTCTTGACAGAGAGAGGGGGAGCGCTGCCCCCTTTTCTTCCCTGGCTACTAATAGAGCATTATAACAGCTTCAGGTAACACTCTGTACTCAGCTTAACTGTTGAGCACAGAGAGAGAGAGAGAGAGAGAGAGAGAGAGAGAGAGAGAGAGAGAGAGAGAGAGAGAGAGAGAGAGAGAGAGAGAGAGAGAGAGAGAGAGAGAGAGAGAGAGAGAGAGAGAGAGAGAGAGAAAGTGTTTGACTGTACTGTGAGCCAGTGAGGCCAGTAGTGCCCAGATGAGGTATTTGATTTGCCTAATCTCCAATCCAGTTACAACACGAGTAGCCAACTGGTGGTGGTGATGACTGGAGGGAGGCAGATGGGGACAATTGGTTCCTTGTTGGTGATGACAGTCTACATGGTGACCTGGTCTCGTGTGTGGTGAACACACTACAACGAGGTGATGTGATGAACAGTTCAACTAGCTGGTCACACTCTATAGAGAGCTGATGAGATCAGCTCTGACGAGTATGATGAGATCAGCTCAGGCGAGTGTGATGAGATCAGCTCTGACGAGTGTGATGACTTGTTCCGCTCAGCCATCGTCCCAAGCGTGATATACACACGGCTGGTCTCATATTAAGCTGCACCATTAAGGGTGACAATAGGCAAGTATAAGATAGAAGATGCAGCAGTAAGCGTATGCCAGCCATGTTGGACGTGCGGTTCATAAGTGACTAGGTAAGGTCAGGAGAACGCACCACGCCATTATCACTACACACCATCTGAATGGGAGAGGAAAGAACTAATTGAACACTGTTCTGCTACTTGGACTATCGGGGATCGAACCCCGACCCGTTAATAGTGACCTGAGAGCCATGGTTGACGTAGCTATGCAGAGCTACGTAAAGCAGTCTTCAGTACACGGTATAATAGGCTCTTTTGTAAGACAATAGGAGCCGGTCGGCCGAACGGACAGCACATTGGGCTTGTGATCCTGTGGTCCCGGGTTCGATCCCGGGCGCCGGCGAGAAACAATGGGCAGAGTTTCTTTCACCCTATGCCTCCTGTTACCTAACAGTAAAATAGGTACCTGGGTGTTAGTCAGCTGTCACGGGCTGCTTCCTGGGGTTGGAGGCCTGGTCGAGGACCGGGCCGCGGGAACACTAAAGCCCCGAAATCATCTCAAAATAACCTCAAGAACCTAATAACCTGCTCCTGTTTACTGCATGCCTGGGCTGGGAGGCAGTATGGTGTGTAGGGTGGTCGTCCTATGGTGCCCTGGGGACCACAGCCGCTAATATATGATGTTCACTTGGATGGTTCGTTAGCCTCCGTGAGCACCATGGTCCATGTATATGGCTAGCGAGTGGCCATGGTTGGAGGCAGTGCTGGCAGCTACTGCCATGCGAGCCACACACATGGCAATAACTGAGACTAATTCACTCTTAAACGCGCACAGTGTTCCGTGGTGTACCTCGTGAAGGTGGCTGCTACTTCACCACACGCTGAAAAATACAACTTTCCATTTATGACCAAAAGCAAATTCGTTCACTTTGAACCGTTTAGATCTGGTTGGGCCTCACATGTGACTGGTTATGGTGTGATCTTGACACCCTCGTGTTAGAGATGGTAATCTTGATGTTCCGCAGTGAGGAGGAGTTAGGGGGGAGACACCAGGGGTGCTTGCCCCCTGTGACGCCCAGCCCGGCGTCACCCGCCACCTTAACCGACCTCCACACCAACCTTCCTCTTGGTCCTCACATGCAGGGAAAATAACCGCTATATACAGTCAAGAAAACACAAAGGCTGCTACGTGGCGTGTGGCTCAATAAACAGCATCTCCGCGCTGCTGTCACGACGAGAGACGCCCGTGTAAAGTGGCTCCCAGTGTGTTAGTGGGCGGGAGATATTGGTTCCCGTGGAGACTGAGAATGCAAGGAGGAGGAGGAGGTTGGCGGTAGAGGCAATTGCCCCGCCTACATAATGGTCCCAGTGCTGCCTCACCGTCGCTCTACCAGCCACTCACCGTCGCTCTACCAGCCACTCACCACCACCACCAGCCTATGTCACCCCGTACAGTTATATATGCTTCTCTTGCCTAAGGCCATGAGGTAATCTCTTTTGTTTTTTGTTCAGGGAGATAATCCGAGACATTTGTTTACATAGAGTGGGTTTGTTGGAGTGGGTTTGTGCTTGAGAGTTGAATGTGTTGACAATGATTTGGGTACACAGTTCAGCAGTTATTTTATAAGGTGGGTGTTGGAAAAATTGTTGAACAATTTTGTTTCAGACGAAAAGTGTGTATGGTGTATTTTGTTATACATGTTATGTGTTTATGATGTATTTTTTTTGCACAAGTAACGTTTTTCGATGTACCTATTTAGCAATGTGTATAATATTTATAACTAGTTTTGTGAGAAGTGGACACGTCCAGGACGGGATTTTCCTAATCATCAGTTAGGTAAATGTTGTTAATGCTACAACCTGTGTTGTTTGTTCACAGGAGCAGAGGGGGAAATTATGACAGTCTAAACCTCTTGAAGTTCTGTTCAGTGTTCCATGTGTTGTACTCCCCTGATTGTGTTGTTCCCTGACACATCTTGATGTAAACCCGAGTACCTGTGACACCTGTGTGCACCTGTGCGTCTGGGAGAGACACCAGTAGCGCTTAAATCAGCAGATATAGGTCCTGGAGGGGGGTAGAAATAGCCTAAGCTACTCTATCCCTTTGAGAATCCCTTTGAGATGTATTTATTGCTTATCTCAATAAACATACTTGAACTTGAACTTGAATAGGTCCTGGAGGGAGCAAAGCATTGGCTAAGAAAGATAAACCCGTTGCACTAACCTCCTACATTAGAAAAGTTATTGAGAAGTGATCAGGAGTCAGATCTCCCAGTTTCATGGAGACCAATGACCTCCACGACCCAGGCCAACATGGATTTAGAGCGGGAAGATGATGATGCCTCTCGCAGCTACTCGACCACTATGACAAAATCACTGAGGCAGTTGGAGGAAAATATAATGCAGATGTGATATACAGGGACTTTGCAAAGGTATCTGATAAGTGTTATCATGGAGTGATAGCCCACTAAGTGAGGGCAACAGGAATA